AAAAGTCTGGAGAGTGGACGCTGGAGTACTTGGAGACAGCAGAATTGAAGACAAAGAACTGGAGAAGATAACAAAACATAAACACCTAAAATAGAAGTAGAATGAAGAAAGAAAAAAAAAGTACCAATCGTAATAGGTGTCTTTGGTGCAATTCCAAAACATCTGGAGCACCACTTAAACACCAAAGGTATAGACAAAATAACCATCAGCCAATTGCAAAAGGCAGATTTACTTTGAACAACTTGTATTCTATGATAATACTTACAACACCATCAAACAACATTTGCCTATCACAAGCCCTTGGGATAGGTGGATAAAAATGCAGCAGCAGTGTAAATATCTGGTTGACTGTGTGTTCAACCATAATACAGTCCCAATGAAGTGGTTATGGGATCTGTATGCTCTGAGGAAGATGCCAGCTATGCCAGAGATTCAACTACACTGGACAGGCCTCATCAGAGGAGCCAGACAAAGAATGTGTATCCCATAAACAATTTAGAGAAACTTATACTGGATTAGTCATTGCCCAGACCAACAAAGACTAGGTGCTAAGCGTTGGGAGTTCCTGGATATCTGGTGACCAAAGGATTACAGAACAACTAGGGCCAGCAATTGCAGGACTGCTGGAAGAAAAAAAAATGCTCACCCTTCGCAAATATACAGATTGTAAATAAAGAAATAATGATTTGCTATTACAAATCAAGTTCAATGAGGAGAGGATATCTGAAAAGAATTCATCAAATCTGGAAATAACAACATCCCAAATCAGAAATAACAAAACGGAGAATAGCAGATCAAAATCAATTTATAATATAAAATATTCACAGGAGCAGAATTGGAAGAACTGCAAAGATCTGTCAAGGTAATCAATACATTACCAAGACTGTAGAGGCAAACCATGGAAATTGGCAATAGAGGAAGCCAGGATGGTATTGAACCATTTTTATCAGCAAACCAGCCACTCTTCCTCTGTTTTCTCCTCAGAAAGAACAATGTCTTCTGACTGAAAAAAGAGAAGCTGAAGCGAAGAATAACTGAGTATCTATAACACCACAAAAACAGAAGAGTAACATTGCCTGCTTTGAAGCTTTTTACACACACAAAAAGAAGAACAGCTAGCACAAGTATTAAAAGACATTAGTACTGTAGTACTGAAGATAAGCATCAGCTCACCGCAATAAACAAATTAACTGATGTACAGCATAGCTGCAGTTATATCTTATAACTTTCCATCTTGGATGGAAAACAACAACAACAAAAAGCCAAAAGTTCATCACCAAAATGAAAGACCAGTTTGGAAAATAAGACCAGCATGCTATGATCAGATACAAACAAGCTAGAACAGATGAAAGAAAAGAAATGTCGAGAGGTTGTATTGATCAAGGAGCACAGGTGGACATGAAATTTTGCAAGTACATCAACAATGGTACTCGCAAGAAGAAAATAGGACATTGAAAAAACATCTGGACACTGAAGAAGATGCAGTGAAGCTAGTACTGTATGCCATGAAGGCTTACCGAATACCAAGGAGACCAAACTGGTTTACAAGAAAGACCAAACGAAGAACAGAAAAAGAGACATCGCAAGACAACGTAGCCAGTACATTAAAAAAACAACTGGCAGACAAAGCAGATAACAAGACCTGTCAATGACTAAGAGCAGGAAAGTTGAAGAAAGCGATGGAGGATCTAATTCCGAGCTTTAAGAACAAATGTATAAACAGCCAGAATTGAGAAGACGGCACAGACAGCAAATGCCACCTCTGCAAAAAAAAAAAAAAAGCTGAAGAAACAGTGGACTACCCAATAAACTACAGCAAAAATATCACACAGATTGATCACAAATGACAGAAAGACCAAATAGCAACACTTGCACATTGGAATATCTGCAAGAAATACCATTTACCTGAAAGCAAGAGCTGGTGGGACCACAAAAGAGACACAGTAATAAAAAAAATAAAGAAGCTAAAGTGCACTGTGACATTAAGAATTCAAACAGACCAGCAACTGCGATACAACACCTCAGACTTAAAAATTGTTGACAGGAAAGACAAAATAGCCTGAAATAGTAGACCTTGCAGTACCTGGAAATATCAAAATAGAAGAGAAAGAATTGAAGAAAATCACAAAATATAAAGACTATGAACAGAAGTAGAATTATTGTGGCAAAAGAAAACAAAAATAGTACTCTTAGTAATAGGCTGTTTGGGTACAATCTCAAAATAACTGGACCACTACCTGAAAATCATTGGCACTAACAATATCACTATTAGTCAATTCCAAGCTTTACTTGGAACAGCTGACATCCTGCAAAGATTCCTTCATATTATTAAACGACAACATCTGCCTATTCCAGGTTCTTGGAAAGGATTTGACAAGTGGACAAAAATGCCAAATCCAGTCTAAATATCTGGCTGATGTGTGAGCACAACCGTAATAAGGTCTATAATTAACTAACTTTTCCCGTCAATTGTTCTAGTTACACTTGCAATAAATAAACCATAGCTGAATTTTATTTGAGATCTATCACACAGTAGATCCTGAAATAAATGCTAGTTCTAAATTGATATTCTATGTATATTACCTGGGAGTAACAAAATTCAACAGAAAAATGTTCAGAATAAACATAGATAGGACTGGACAGGAAAAAGATTGTTTCTTGGGTGACTTTTATATAATAAGGAAAACAAACATGGGTAAATATATACAAAAATGTTGTTCAATATGAAGTAGCAGCTATCAATTAATAAGAGGGTGAGTTGTTCCTGGATATTTTTTCCAAGATTCACCAGTGTCCCACTGTAACATCTTCCACATTTTATTTTATTTTTTGGGTGGCGTTCTCTGAACTTTTGTTTGCTTGCAGACTTTTTACTACCAGACTAGGTAACATTATCAGAACTGATGAGGTTGCCTAGTTGAATATCTACAAGCAAACGACTAAAGTCAGAGAACACCAAGGACTCCGTAGTTCAACCTGAACTAGATATATTCTTTTATCAGAACAGGTTTTTTTTTCTTTTTAAGACAAATTACAATGTACCTGAAATGGTACTTTAGCTTTTTCCTTGAACTCTGAAAAATCTGAAAACCTGCCTTTTGTAGCAGCTGAAAGCTAGAGGAAAGGGGGAGGATGGCTTTCTTACATCAAAACAAAACAAAACAGAAGCCTCATTCAAGTTAAGGTCTTATCTAAAGGGCAGGTGCTCCCATATCCAGCATAAGGAGGACTTCTAAATCTTCCCCAGCCTGAAGTCCTTGAGAACTGTTCCGTTAGATCGCAGTTCTACCAGTTTCCACAACTTCCAGTGTGGTGGGTTGAAGGACAGCTTCCCAAGATCTAACTGCATTTCCTACCAAGTGTGTTAACACCTGCTGGTTTCAATGGGTGACAGTGTTAAGTGTGCCTATCCATTTCCTCATTCCAAGGTTCAGAGTGCAGATTTGCTCCTTTCTGATAAAAGTTGGTGGTGATCCAGGTTGCTGACCCACCACAATATTATTGTGTACCAGTTGTGGGGATAACAGAACAATTTCCACAACCTACCATTGCTCGTATGCACTGTTGTTTAATCGGTAAGAATGCTGGGAATTTGTTTTCCTATAGACACCATCATCAAATCCTGTCCATAGGCACATACTGCCCAGGAATAAACTTGATACATTCAATCCACAGAATGTTGAGTGCATCTCTTAACTGCTAGAATAGCCAACAGGCCTGCAATTGTCCACAAGTTCTACCCAATGGATCCTGTGTTGCCTTGAGTGGCACTTCCATCATAAGTAATTAAGGTACATACAGACTTTCCTCAGGAACAACCCAGTCCAATTTATGTAAAATAAATAATAAAAAAAGGAGCCTTGGTAGTACAGAGGTTTAAGGCACCCTGTTATTAAGCTGGTTATTAAGACCAGCTGCCTGCAATTACTGCAGGTTCGAATCTCACCAAGGCTCAAGGTTGACTCAGCCTTCCATCCTTTCTAAGGTAGGTAAATTGAGGACCCACTTGTGGGGGCAATAAGCTGACTTTGTACAAATATACAAAACAATGAAGGTTATTGCTTAGTGCATTGTAAGCCGCCCTGAGTCTCCGGAGAAGGGCGGCATATAAATCAAATTAAAAATAAAATAAAATGAAATAAATAAATAAACAGTTCTCTTCAGGCTTCTGGGCTGCCTTGCCCTACCTAATTAAAGCTGCTCTTCATTTATGTGATTAAGAGACACAAGACCACCTTTTCGGGTGATCCTGATCCCTTTGCCCTTTCCACGCCAGAATTAAAACTCATGACAGGGGCATGACTTTCCTTTTCGACTCCTCCACCCCTTAAGCGCAGGGACATGGATAAGTAGATGGAGAAGAGGACACCCCCTTTCCCCCCCCCCCCAAGAATGTCATTTCCAATGGGGAAACCGGGGCTAGATTTTTGCACAGTAACAGAGTTGGAAGGGACCCTGGAGGTCATCTAGTCCAACCTCCCTTGCTCGCGCACTAGGGATCCGAACCGCAGAACTGCCGACCTTTTTGATCGACAAGCTCAGTGTTTTAGCCACTGAGCCACCTAGTCAGGCATTTTTCCCCCTTTTCCCGCTGACTTTTCTTTGCTCCGAGGCTTGGACCGGCTGCAAAGTGCAAAAAGGGTAGAGGATGCGGGAGGGTGGGGGAAAAGGTGGAGAGAGCCGGCTGGGTCCCTCAAGAAGACAACAGGTTCTTCTTGAGAGATCTGCCCCCAGCGGCTTGCGGAACCCAAGTGCGCCTGCCCCGGCTTTTTCCCAAGCTTCCTCTTGGGTTCGGCATTTCTCACTAAGGAAACAGGTGAGCTTCCCTCCTTTCGTCCGCCCCATTGAAGCCACGACATCTACCCTCCCGCGGTGGCGGTGGGTGGACAGAAAAATCCCTCAGGGAAGTGCCTGAGAAAAGACCGGGTGTGTGTGTGGGGGGGGGGCAGGGCAGGGCGACTAGCACGCGGAGATTAACCTCGCCTGGGGAAGGCACTTACCGGCTTTGCAAGGATCTTTGTAATCTATGGCTTCAGCCTGATCCTCCTGGCTGAAATCGTAACCGTAGTCGAAATCCAAGCCGGAGCAGCGGGAGCGGGAGACTTTGTTCCAGAGGGCCACCCCAGCCAGCCACAGAGCCATCCTCCAGCAAAACATGGTCAGGCTCCTCGGCGTAGAGATGGGCGAGAGAGCGAGAGCGGGCGAGCGAGGGAGGCGAGGCGCCGGGTGCCAGGAGCGGCGGAGGAGCGTATACGTGTGGCGGACGGGTGTGTGGTGGTGGTGAGGGGGAGGCTGGAGGGAAGCGGCGCCGTGGGGAGAAAGGGCAGCGAATGTCTCGTCCGCGCCGACTGGCTTCTCTTCTCCAGGGGGGGTTCGGACCCGGAGCTGGGGCTTCCCCCCATGCAAATGAACCGGGAGGCTGCCGTGCGCGTGGGCGGCTGTGTGTGTGTGTGTGTGTGTGTGTGTGTCTGTGCGTGGAGGGCGAAGGGGTCCGACCCCCCGCGAGGAGGGAAGTTGCAAAGCGGAGAAGCGCCGACTCGCCCTCCTGCCCTCTCACAGCGCCCGGCTTCCCTTCCTCGCCTCTGTCAAAAGGCCGAGCAAACTTTTCCGCCTTCCCGCCACAGACGCCGCCGCCGCCGCCGCCGGGGCACCAGCAGCAGCAGCAACAACGGGCTCCCGGGGGCTCTTCTGCCCGGGAATGGGCGACGGAGCCAAGCGGTTGGAAGAATCCCTCTTTCTCCCGGTCGCCTCTCGCCGAGCTTTCCGCTGTTCCCGATGTGGGGCGCTTAGAGTCGGGCTGCACATCAGCAAACTGGGAGAGAGAGAGAGAGAGAGAGAGAGAGAGAGAGAAAGAGATGCCCTGGGAGGTGGGGAGGGCGGGAGGACAGCCAGCAGCCCTGCAGTGATGGCAACGCGTCAGCAAAGGCGAGAGGAAGGAAAAGTGCAAAGGCTTCCCCGTCTTTCTTTTCCTTTTTTCCCCCCCCTTTTTCCTTTTAATAATTAGTCCAGAGTTTCCCTCCTCTTCCTCCCACCCACCCCTCCTTTTAATTAGCAAAAACCGTCCAGCAGAATCTTGGCCGTCAGCATCCTGCTTACTTATTCCGAGCAGCAGCAGGGCCACAGGATCCGGGCTGCTTTCTGATCTGCTGCCCTGATAGCCTTAGGAAAACACGCGCGCCTGTCCGGTGCGCCCCGTTCGCCATGCAGCTGCTGTCTGTGGAGATAAGCGGAGCGGAGCACAACTTTAGGGAGCGGACAGAGACCGGAGCGACGGGGGAGGCGGGGGGGGCGGGGGGGGGGGGAAGAGAGAGAGAGACGGGAGAGGAGTCAAGAAGCCGGGCGTGATCGCTTCGCGGTGGCCCCCCGAGGTCGCCCGAATCCGGAAACGAAGATGGGAAGCAGGTTCGGCGAAGGTGACCGTCACGGCGATGAGAAAGAATCGCGGCGCTTTCCCCAACCTCTGCCTCTTTCGCTTTCCGCTGCCAGCGTGCAGAGCGCGAGAAAGGGAAGGAAAGTTGTTTTTGTTTGGCGCTTTTTTTTTTTTTTAAGGCGTCCACCGGTTTGTCGAACGGGATATTAAGACGACCATCGACGGGCAAAGTTCAGCCAAAGGAAAGCAGCTTCACGTGTAGGCTTTTTTAAACAAAAAACACGCGAAAGCAAACGCGGAGCTGAGGAATAATATGGAACAAAGCAGGTTGTGCATCAGCAGCGAACAGTTGCAGCAGTTAATTTTTATTTTTTATTTTTTTTTTGCAGGCAGCGAAGTCGGGCCCGGCTTCCCAGCGGATGCGAAAGGTTAACGGGGGTTTTTCAGAAGCAAAAGTTTCCGTCGCAGCTTCGTCTCCCTTCCCTCCCCTTGCTTGGAAGTGCGTGCCGCGCGTTCGCTTGCAAGCGATCAAGAAAGACTCCCAAACGGAGGCAGGCAGTCTTTGAGGGCTGGATTTGTTTGCTAAGCCAGCCAAACGAATCAGCGAGTTTAAAATCGGACTTAGCCGATCAGCCTGAAAAATAAAACGTGGAGCTCCTGGGAGAAAATCACAGCGCAGGGATATATATCGAGAGAGAGAGAGAGAGAGCGCAGGGCTGAGGGGGACTGAGACGCTTCAGTTTAGCCATAAGATCTATAAAGCATGCCAGCATTGGAATGGAATTGTGTCAAACTGTTACATGCTCAGATTTATTTCTTTATAAAAGAAACCAACGGACTTTCCTGCTGTCTACAAAGACAACTGTGAACTGTCCCCGTTTATTTGTATTCATTTCATGTGCTCATGTCCACGTCTATACTTATTTATTTATTTTTTGATTTGATTTATTTTATTTATTTATTTATTTATTTAATTTGTATACCGCCCTTCTCCCAGAAGGGACTCAGGGCGGTGAACAGCCAAAATTAAAAAACATACAAATGCAAAAGTTAAGATAATTAAAAGAATTAAATCATTGGCTACCCAAATTTAAAACCCCAAATCCATAAAATTTAAAATCCCAATTAAAAAACCATTTAGGCTAGGCCGGCTTGATGAAATAAAAACGTCTTCAGGGCTTTACGGAAGGTCCGGAGGTCCGGGATCAATCGTATTCCAGGAGGCAGCTCATTCCACAGGGCGGGTGCCCCCACAGAGAAGGCTCGCCCCCTGGGGGCCGCCAGCCGACATTGCCTGACCGACGGCACCCCGAGGAGGCCCTGTCTGTGAGAGCGTATTGGCCGGTGGGAGGTTATCGGTAGCAGCAGGCGGTCTCGCAAATACCCTGGCCCTAAGCCATGGAGCGCTTTAAAGATGAGAACCAACACCTTAAAGCGCACCCGGAAGACCACCGGGAGCCAATGCAGCTCGCGCCCTATCTCCGGGCGGCTCACAACAATAAAATATCCGAATAAAAGCGTGTTAAAATACATGTTAACCCCCCCCCCCAGTCCAGGCTGAACAACCATGTCTTTAAGTCACGGCGGAAGGTGCGGAGGTCAGGGGCCAACCGGAGCCCCAGAGGAAGTTGGTTCCAGAGGGTGGGAGCACCCACAGAGAAAGCCTGTTATACCTGTTATCTCGTACATGTTTGACAAACTAAATAAAATAATAAAGAGTCCACATATAAAAAGGGAGGAGGGGGGGAAGAAACTTTAGTTAATCGGATTTTTCCAAGTGCTCCTGTTGGGATGACACACACCTAATTGGGCCATGCAAAAGAAGATGCTTTCCTATCTTCCTATAAATTGGGATGCTTACAGATTGCTTACGGTTGCAAAAACTGTATTCTTGATCATGATAACAAACAGCTAAGTCAACAGGTTTCCCTCTTGCGAGTTATTCAGGACAAAAAACACGCAAGGCAAGCCCTTCAGATCAACACCAAGACTTGAGATGTCATCCAGTAACACTAAGCCCTGAATTTCCGTCCAGAGGTTAATGTATACATGGGAGTTCATCATCACATCTACAATGAAACTGCTTCATCATCACATCTGCGGTCATAAATGCTGCTGACTATAGAGCCCTGGGAGGATAGTGAATGTTTGAGGAAAAGGCACAACAGGAGGCTGGTAGTTGTGATGTGATTAAAACAAACATCTGAGAAACGGCATCTTGTCCACAGGATTAATTAAATACTCTTATATGTTTTAATAGCCTTAGTGGTTAAAAAAACGGCCCAGCGTTTGTATGCTGCCCTGATGGGAAAGCTGTTTTTCCATTCAGAATTGTTCTTGTCTGTGGAAAGACTGTTTACCCCCACAGCATAATGTTGTGCTGGTGCAGAATATCATTTTTTTAAAAAAAACCAAGCAAAAAAAGCAGAATATCAAATAAAAAGATGGTTTGCTTTAAAAACCCTCTGTGTTTGCTTTATTTTAGGGATGCTATACAATAAACCAAAGCTGGGACTTGATATTTTTTTCTGCTGGAAGCGAAGGACAAAAATAGAGCCTTCTCATATTCCATGTATAGAAGCAATCCAAGGTGACAGTTCAGAATGTTCAGAAATCTGTTTTCCTTTACACTTGGGAAGAGCAGGGGAACTCGGAAAGCTTGAGGCGTCTTTGCCTTTTGATATCTTCCTATTGCTTCAGTAGCTGGGCAGAACCTGCCCTGTAAATGACAATGAGATTTATTTTTGAAATTCCCTGAATTATAGCTCCTTATTACATTTGCTGTCATATGACTAAATACCTTTGTTTTTGAAGAAAACAAAGTTGGAAAATTGGAATTACAAACTTTTACTCGAGATCAGGGGTCTTCAAACTATGGCCAGTGGGCTGGATACAGCCCACTAAAGCCATTAATCTGGCCCATGCGGAACCACAAAGCCGCCCCGCCAACATTGCCCCACTTACCCACTCGCCTTCTGGAGGCCAGGGAGGCCAAAAATGGGATGCGTAGACGCCTCAGGAGGCCAAAACCAGGACCGTTTTTGGACGGCAGAGTGGTTCTCCCTGGCCTCCAGGGAGAAAGAGAGAGAGAGAGAGAAAGACACACATACACACAAGCAGAAGTCCCTCACACACACACCCAAGGCAGCCACATCCCTTCACTAACCTGCTTTCCATCCCAAGGAGCATAACAAATTAAAGTAATTTGTGCATATTGTTTAATGGACTACTAAATTGGCCACCTTCACCCAGTCACATGACCACCTAGCCATGCCCACCCAACTGGTCCGGCCCCCCAACAGTCTGAGGGACCGCTAATTGGCCCACTGTTTAAAAAGTTTGAGGACCCCTGCTCAAGATCAACAGATCTTAGCCAAATGGTGCCATAGCTTTTATCAAGACCGACATCATACAAATGTTATCCGAAGGTTTTAACAGTGGAGCGCAGTAATTCTCTGTATTAAGAATGGAATGTAAGATGGAGTAGAAGGCTTTTTAATTCAATATGTATGGCAATAAACTCATTTTATCAACAGCTGACAAGATACTTGCTTGATTAAAAAAAAAAACCTGCAAAAATTCAATCAATGAAATCCAGGTCTTTAGTAAAGCATTCAAGTCTTACAAATAAAAACTTCAATCAATTGCCCTGATTACAAATTTTAAAAATGTACCTTGTTCTGGGCTTAGAAACTGTCCTGGGCTAGAATCAGACATGAGATAAGAGGATTTTAATGATTGACTACAGGTAGTCCTCAACTTATGACCACAGTCAAGCCCAAAAGTTACGTTGTTAAGCGAGATATTTGTTAAGCGAGTTTTGCTCCACTTTACAACCTTTCTTGCCTCAGTTGTTAAGTGAATCACTGCAGCTGATAAAATAGTAACCCGGTTGTTAAGCGAATCTGGCTCCCTCATTGACTTTGCTTGTCAGAAGGTCGCAAAAGGTGATCACATGATCTTAGGACATAACGGTCATAAATATGAACCAGCTGCCAAGCATCTGGATTTTTGATCACATGATCATGGGGATGCTGGAAAGGTGGTAACTGAAAAATGGTCATAAGTCATTTTTTCAGTGCCATTGCAGCTTTGAACG